GATACTTTCATGACACTTGAAGACGTCACTTTTGTTACATCAGGTCATTAGCTGTACAGGACTTTCAACACGTCCAACCGCATTCATCTATTCTGATTTATCATTCACATTTATCCATTCACCGGACAGCTAATGCAGCATTATTTCTTCACGACACATGCACATACTTCACGTTCACGCGCTTCTGCTTACGCTCCTACGAGTCCTATTTCACTTTCACGTTCACGTTTCTACGCCAATTTGTTGACAATTTACACTTCATCTACGTACGTCTTTCAATATCTCTCCCCTCAAAGTATCTACCGGTAGCAGTGACAAGTTGCATTTTTTTCTTTTCTTTTTTGCTTTCCTTTTCTCTCTCATCAATGTAACGACTAGACATGCATCCATCTCTTGTTCATTTGCTTTGGCTTCTCTTGTCCCAAAATTGTTTTGCTTTTTGTTGTCGCACTCACGATCTGTCACGAATACTTGGATTTTCCAAATGTTCTACATACTCAAACGTCGATGTTGTTATACGAATATACGCCCTGGGTCTACAATCAATCATTTGGTTCCGCTTTACAGTAAAAAGATGGGTGCAATGGAGTTCCTTCAAAAGAATCGGAAGAATGAATCTTCTACATTCTTCAATACGGAACGTGATATCTGCGCACTGCGCGACAGTGAGCGCAGATGATGATCGGTTTCACCGGTACGAAGATCCGATGGTACAGCTGACCCAAGTAGAGTTGAAAAGACCATACGTAGCGGGAGCGATCCTGTATTAGTCGGCACTTGTATCCAAGAATTGCACATTGAGATAGCATGTTCCTCCAGCCTCCCGGTACCTGTGCGCTCATACATGACACTAATCGCGAGCCCAACTATTCACCGCGGTATAAGGGACGGTAGAAAGGCAAGGAAACGACAGGGAAGACAAGGCAAATGGACCACGGAGCCGGATGGTATGATTCACCGCTCAAGGCCAAAAACGACTTTCGGACCAGCTACTTTGCTCCATTGAGAGACCTGCAAAGGCCCGTAACGCAATTCGACCTGAGGAATGGGTTGGGAGGGACGCGCCACAGATAAAGCCGCGGGAGGACCTGCGGGAGGAGGAGGAGGACGCGTAGGTGGCGCTTGATTTTGAGTAGGAGCAGCAGGAGCCCCTTGACGAGCTTTCCATGCCGTACGTATATGGTTTGAACGAGATAAAAGCTAGTGCATTGAACGGCGTAAGCGAAATAGCGTCTAGTGAAAGCCTCTTCACTCACAGTTTCTTTCTCGACTCCGTCAGCGATGCTTGTAATGATGTTATCGACGACAGTTTTGTGATTTCCATTGGGCTTGTCATTTCGGAAACGCATCATTCGCCAGCCCGAGACGAAAGGGTCCCAATGGACTTCTACAATGCGATCATCGTATTGTTCTCCTGACGCCTTCATTCTGTATCCAGCATAAGCACTAGACATCCAAGCAGAATAAGAAAGCACTTGCCTTTCCCATTCGTCGTCGTCTACGTTCATCTCGTCGTACTGTTCATATCGCGCTACACCGCCTTGATCTCCACACCACACGTGTAGCAAGAAACACGGGCTTGGCGCGATAGTCCGGTTGGGAAGGGTTGGAAGGAAGCGGAGGGAAACGAAGGACGAGCTTGAAGTCAATCGAATTTTCGGATGGCGGCTTCCACTTTAACCTGTAGTATCGAGAAAGAAAAATTCAACGTTGGAAAATTACGAAGGATTTATTAGGTTTACCCACACGTTTGAATCGGTACCGGCAGTGTAGGGTGTGTTGACGCAAGTGTATATGAGCCCATCGTTTTCGTGGTGAAGCGCAGGGATGTCCAAGGAGAACACTTGATCCACGTTATACGCAGACCTGAATTTCCTTTACTTTGATTCTATGCGCCTTTAGATGATATCAGGTTGAAGTGCAGCGAAACATACTGGAACGGCTGCGCTTCTGCAACATGAGGGTGATCACGCATCATCTTTGCATACGGCTTGTAAAACCACTCGTTCAGTCTCTTCAGAGGTATAAGAGACTGGTTAATCTTTGTAAAAGAGTGCAGCTTACCCCATAACGCTTATCGAGAGGTCGAGACATGATATGCTGGTTATCCACAATGAGACAATCGAAAGCCAGCAAACGCATGGTTTCCTGAACATCGCGGTTCAAAACGAGACAGGACATGAGTTCTGAGAAGGGAGCTTACTCGATGTGTCCGTGGATCGACATCAATAACCAATTCACCGTCCACAAGAGTGTTTCTGAGAGGATTTATAGGATTTTCATGATGAGGAAAAAAGAGACCAATCAACTCGCGGTACGAGTTGTGGCGATCAATCTACAGAAACAGAGGGTCAGCTTTGAGCTTGAGAAGGAGGACATTTCGCACAAGAAAGACCCGTTGTCCGCTCTCATCGAAGAGTATCAATAATAGGACGCGGATTCCGTCAGATTTCTCGCAAACCCAGAAACTATCGTTTGAAATTCAGCAGGAGGATTGTTTTATGGGCAGATATAACAATTACTCTTGAGTTTCGAGCTTTAACAGATCTCTCGTCCCAAAACTAACAGGCTGGGATCCAGGAAATCTATGGGTCGATGTTATTTTACTTTGGGGATGTATTTCATGTGGGAAGCGCACCTTTCATTTTCCAAGTGGCAAAGTCTAGCGACAGAGGTCTTCAGCCATGATTCTTCCGGCGAATGTTTAGGAACAAGATTTCCAGGCAAGTCGGGTATTGGCATTCGTTAGAGAGAAGTGCAATTTCAATTTTGAGCGGCGAAAGAGCGCTTACTACAAGGCGCTTATACGTGGCGCGTAGATACCGTGCGCAGGATCTAACTCAGCCTCATCCGCCGAATTTGGTTCTGCCTTCACATGTTGAGGCTGTGAGTAGCGAACGATATCGATTTACCTTCACTCGAGTCGAGGTTCGCGTGTTAATTCTGGCCGACTAACTACGCTACGTTCTTATCCTATAATTCCTACTGTTTCGGCAACGAAAATATTCCATTCAAACGATAACAACCATACCATAGAGTCCTTCCGTATTCGAATGCGGAGATAGGTCAGCTCTAGGAAATACTAGTTTTGGGGACTCTACAAGCCCCGTATCCGGTAAATCAGGTCCTGACTCAGGAGGAGGTTTGGCCCAACGTACGCGAAGCTTCATCCCATCCTTTTTGAGATTCCGCAAAGTGTCAAGCTCGACTTCTGAGAGCGACGGCGGGTGGAGAAGCAATAGGTCGCAAGACTTCAATGTCAGTGACCGGCTCTCGAGGAAACCGACCAACGCTGCACTGGTTAAAGAGCTGGCGGCCGTAGGAAAAGGACTACTGTATTGACTGAAAATTCGAATATTTTCTAGCTGTGGCCATGAGGGAGTAGAGTTGGTGGCTGATGGTGTGAGGGTGAAAAGATGCGAGTCCTCGAGAGGATGTGAGAAAGCCCCAGACCCATCGCAGTTGGACATGAATCGAGCCGAAAGTTGAAAGGTGGTTAGACTTGGAGTCCAAGAAATACAATCTGTTAATAGTTCGGATGTCACTGGCATATCCAGCTGTAATGTCTCCAGTGCATGCAGTGACTGCCCAACAAACGGCAAGCTGGAGAATTGACAGGTGAAGCTCAGCAATCGCAAAGCAGGGCATTGGATGCGGTTAAACATGGACGTTAGAGTCTCGATTTCAGCAGCAGAATACCCAATCCCAGGCAATGTCAACCGCATCTCATTCAAATTGTGGAGATGTACTGGCAGTGTAGGAATGTTATCAAGGGAAAAGTTGTTGGATAGATAAACATTGAACTTGATAGACTGCATTCGCGGAGTGTTTACCAAAATCTTCATTACTTCGGTCAGATGTATTCGTTCCACTTGGAGCGTGGTTAGACGTCCCCAATTGCAAGGTAATGCATAGTAGCTGTTTTTCTTGACGAAGAAATTGATGTCCAAGGTTTCCAGAACAGGCATTCGTGACAAAAGCGGAGCAAGCGCTTTATGAATTTGGCGGAGCTCTACCTCAGGAATCCATACCGGATCTATTCCCCAGTAATAATCTGCATCTCGCACCTGGAATGATGTGAGCACGGGAAACTGGGAAGGGGATAGACGTTCAAGGATAGACAATATATGGGAGATAGAGACAGATATATCTTGGCGAATCTATCGCTGAATCGCATTCAGAGAGCGAACCATCGAGCTCCATGTTTTCGCATTGGAATGCACTGGTAGCTTCGTACCAATTTCGTTCAGCGGCGTGTCCATGAAAGGATATGGACAGTGGAAGTGAGCCGGAGCGTTCCAACCAAGCAGTGATGCCTTGGATCCGTCGGGAGCAAGCATCAACGGTCAAATGCGGAGGAAGGTAAATATGCAATGAATTCCACAGATAAGGCGTATTGAGGACGACGCGCCTCCAATCCCAACAGATCGTAGTAAGGATGAGCGGAGCCTCACTCAAACTTCGGACCGCATAAGGAAGGCTCTGCTGGAAGACAGTGTATGAATATCTCCGTAAGTGTTTCCTGAGGAATCTGTCGCATCGGAGAAAGCAAAGTCGTATGAGCCTGAATGTATGTTTCAATTCTCTGCTTTTCCGACAAAAGACTATCCAAAAGAGTTTGAACACGTCCGAATTTCCGCTTCCAATCTCGAAAGTTCATGCTGGGGATGAACAAGTAGAGATTTGATCTGGTTCAGCTCGTATGTGGTAGGTGCATGGTTTGTTCCAAGCACAGAGGCGAAAGGTGAATGGGGAGTGTCCCACTGGGTGTGCTGGGAAGCACACGACATGGAAGTTCAAGTTGAGGCCCGTAAGCGCTCGATCGCGTGGCGCCTGATCGTATGCGCCAGCACAAGTTCCAAGATCAAAAAATAGGGCAGAATAGAACGCAGCGACAGAAATACCGGTATATCGAGCGTGACATACGTTTTGTAACAATAAGCGCCTAAGCAAAAACAAAAACAAACGCTTCCCTTAGTACTCGAATCATGCGCATGCATCGACCACGGTGGGGATCGAACCCACAATTTCTGGCTCGGTGGATTGAAGAAACCGGAAACCAACGCCTTGCCATTAGGCCACGCGGCCGTTGAAGTGAGTTTAACAGTAGTCATAATATCTAGAGTAAATCATCTTATTTTTACTCCAGCAAGAAATCCCGCTAGACTGTATTTCTACCTGCGAAAAAAGTATGAGCTGACGAGTTAATGGACAGAGAATGGTGCTAAGATGGACGACATACAAAAACACCAACTCACAAGATCGACTTGTTTGCCAGGATATCAGAGGATATCCCAATTCCCTAACATTCTAAGTCTCGTACATACTCCCCACGAAGAGAACGAAACCATCAGGAAGGACATTGAAGCATGAATTATTCTCAATTTCAACGCAAACTTGGATAGGTTTCAATAGGTTCATCTCGTCTTCTGGTTCTGCAAGAATTTTGAGATTTTCGAGAGTCTGAAAATAGAACACTGAAGTCGACCTTTCGCTGTCTGCACACGAGGCAAACTTTGGCCCCATCTAAAACGATAGAATTTCATCGTAAATTGTGGATGGTAGAGTGAACTTGTTCTTGTTTTTCCAACTGCTAGGGCGAAGATTGCGGGTCGCACGCTCATGGAGCGACTTTCCCAAAGATTCGTTGAAAATGTTGTTCGACCTTGGAGTTTTTGAAGCGTGGTATTGAACATGACAATGTTGGCCATGACGGACCCAGACTGTCCAGTCTTCCGAGTAAGCGATGCGGCCATGGTAGCTGCAACTTGACCTTTCCCAATAAAGTCGAGCAAAACCAGGCAAAACCTCAAGAATCTCGTATTAATCAGAACAAGGTATAGAAGCTTCTTGAAGATTCCCGAGCGAGGAGTCACTGGAGAAACTCTACGAGGACTCTGGGTCGTCGCAAACTCTCCATTCGAGGCCGAGGAGTGCAAGATGAGGTCGCTCGAGACGAGTCACTCTGGCAAACTCCTGCGAGTAATCAGTCGAGCCATGATCATCAACTTTGGTGAATTTGTAGTCGAGCAAGTTAACTCAGAACCGGACGACTATTTACGAGCTCGTGAGCAGTCGTAAGCTCGTCAGAGTAGAAGGACCCACTGCTGAATAAACAGAAGACCGAGCTGAATCGAGGCGGTATACCTCTTTGGATCGGAGCTTGGTGGAGAGTGAGAGGAACGAAGCTAGATTTACTGAGGAACCTGCAGCAACCGGGTCTGTGCTACTCGCCGAATAGTCCGAGGATTTCCGGACTTGGTTGGACGTCGACGTCGGGCGTCTATTTCTCACCGTTCCCTAACCCATGAGCTCGCACCGCTCAGTGCTGCAGGGAACAATTATAACATGCAAGTCATCCATCTATCCAATCTCATCCTCTGACTCTGATTCTTCACTTAATAGCTGCTGCTAGCGCTTTCGGCACTGGAATTCATGGAATTTTAACAGCAAAACCCAATTCTACTCTTCTCGCGTTTTCAGCTGGGATAAACGGTGGAATATCCGGTGCTACCTTTTTCAGTGCGTTTTCTACGTGTTTTAAATGGATTCAAGCTTATAAAAGACCAAGGTATACGAGAATTCGCGGTCAGTCCGCTGCTAGTCTCTGTACTTCCTGGTGCACAATATGTAACGCAGACGGAAAGAGGGAACTACGAGTGATTTGGGGTGGTCAGAGATTCGTACCGACCGTTTGCTAGACTCTGCTGTTAGCGGGGTTTTCACCGGTGGAATTATACGCGGTTTAACTAGTGCGTCTTAAATTTCGTTGAAATTTCGTTGCGATGGCTTATTTGGCTTTCAGAAAACCTTCAAGCCGCGTTACTAGGTGCTATATCAGCGGGTTTATTATGCACCTTGCTCCAGTACATGTATAACGAGTCTAAAATCACCCGACTGAGATACTTGGTGCATCAATCCCAAGATCCTCCCTCCGTACATCCTGTTACATCTTCGAATAGTTCTTCTCCGCCCTTGAATTCCCAGAAATCAAATCCATAGAACCATATGATTCCAAAAGCGAGTGGCAGACTCTACGTAGACCAATTTAGATGGGAACCCGGAGCCCTCTGGCCAGCCCAACGGCCAAATGATCAAGGTCGAAAAGTTTGAGTAGCGCTCAGAGGGCCCAAGTAGAATAATAGGCGAGGAGCGGAGATGGGACATTATAGTAGTCACGGATTGCCTTGAGCCTTCGAAGCGACCAGGGCTCATATCGCATCGATTAATCACATCTTCGAAATCAATGACTTCAAGCTCAGAGTGTCGCTCTTCAAGTTCTACTCAGGACAGGTGTTTTCCCGTCTTGCCGAAAACTGCATCTGACAGAATACGTATCGAAGTATAGATTCTGCTTGTTTTGTAAATTGTTAGACATGTACAGTGTTCTATGGTTCCTTGAGCCACTATGGCTCCTTGAACCACCAACCGTAATTTTTTTTTTGCAGGGTGTATTTACCTTAAAGTACTGTCACAAACTTAATGAACGTACATGATGCATTGTTGAGAAAATACTCAGAGTGTTAGCTCCCAATCTCGAGATGCAGGAAATCAAACATCAAGTATTTTGGAATATTTTTCATTCGAAAACATATATTTTCGTTTACTAGCTGAATACTGATACTCAGGGCCCTGACAAAAATGGTACATAAATACATAATCGCTATTTCCAGCATCTGAGATACTCAGCCTTGTGGAAGGAGGATGTCTGTTCCTTAAGTGAGCAACATAAGTATGACAGCACAATTTGATCTGCCAAATTTGGCGTGGTTCAAGGAGCCATAAACGTGAGAATCAACTAATTCTTTAGATATTTTTGCGGAACTCCCTACAGCAATGTTTTCCCTTTTTTGATTATCTAAAAACACTTGTTCTTTCTTTTAGCAAAATACTAGATACAAAGAATTTGCTACTTCTTGCAGAACAAAAAATCGCAAGGAAAATTCAAAGTTCTGGTTCAAGGAGCCATAGAACACTGTAAGTAGTGCTGCCGCAAGGTAGAGGTACCTTGAACCCGGAACTTACCTCACCTCACCTTAGTTCCATAATAGGCAACCAAGGTGCCGAGGTTTGATCCCTTGCCTTGACCTTGGTTCTTAATTTGGATGCCATCGCGTTTACATCCTTTTCTTCATACTTCCAACTACTCTACCACAATAAAATTATTTTCTGTTAATCTTAGTCCTACGCAATTCAACTCTCAAGTCTCAAAACAATATGGAGCTTGGTTTAATGATATAATCATCTCAGGATTATACTAGTCATATACATAAAAAGCCAAAGTAATACATATACTGTAGATATATCTTTTAATGACTAGTACATACTCAAATCTCTAAGGTGAAGACTTCGATGCAATTTATAAGGAGCCGTGCAAGGCCGAATCCATATTCGGAACATTACCTCGAGTTACCTCGGCAAGGCCATCAACCTTGCCTCGCCTTGACTCCATCAAGGTACCGAATCCGTCACCTCGGTCTCAGCTTGGTCTCAGCTTGCGGCAGCACTACATGTAAGTATAGACTGCGGATCGAGCAACGACGGAGAAATATACGCTTTCCCTTGGTTCTTTTATTTTTGAAAGGTATGTACGGTATATACTGTCAGAGTTGAATGGTAGATGATCAATCTATCTCAAGAATGCTTTGACTGCATGGCAGGAAAGCTGTCCACAATATATTTTGCGTCCAAAAAACAGAATTTGACGGTGAGCTATAACGTTACTTTTCACGGAAAATTCTACTTCTATTCAATTTCCAAGTTCTCAGGCTTACTCTCACATCAAAAGGTACTCACTACGCTGTGAACTTACTCAATTTTTGTGAAAGTACTGTAAAACTTGTATTCTACTGCCATATAAGTATCAATGGATCTCACTTTTTAATTAGGCTTGCAACCTATCTTCCACTGTTATTTGAGTGTTATTGAAGCTTAGGATTTTCGGCAAATTTTCGGCGTCTCGGCATGGGCGCTAAGTACGTGGTCCAAGGTCTCTGCTTGTGACTCGAAATTTGAAAACAGCTCAAAATTATTCCATGGGCACACATTTAGGAAATGCACTCGAACTCCAATGAAATTAATATGGTAAGTTTGTACGGCGCGATGCGCGACACGCCGACACGCAATTGAACTCTTGATTGAACTTGTACTAATTTGGTACTAATGAAGTGACCGGATATCCTGATTACCTCTGAAAATGGACTTTTATCCGATTTTAGAGTAGGAATTAATTGTACAAATGTTCCCATAGATTAGACAGACAGAGTAGGACATACGGTAAATGGAGTACGCTCCATCAAAGTAACGGGCAGAATATTCCGTGAAATCTACCGTCATAGTGAGCGCCCGGTATTGTTTGAATCCCTCTTGACAAGTCGACCCTTGAGTCTCGCTAGTCAAATCGATGCTGTGCTATTCCTAATACATAGAATCACAAAAGTACAAGTACCATGGCCCATCCGTATAGTGTTAGTCCCAGATCATTCGCAATATGACCCCGGTCCTCTCCTTGTCTATCCGGCTAATCTTACTATGCACCTCCTTTGTTGGCTTTGTCCACGGCTCAACCTTCCAATGGCCCAACCTTCTGCTGAGTTATTCGGACCGCCAACTTTACGAGGGTGAGCAGCAGTTTTCCCTCAACAGACCGCAGATGAAAACTGACAACTTCACTTCTTACGGCCCATAGGTCCCTTGAACTTTGCGCAAGGATGCGCTGCACGGGATGACACAACCGTAGCAGCGCAATGGCTTCGCCTTGCAAGTGCATTCGCAATGGCTTTCAAATAAACAACTGACTCGGCTGCTTCGTGTAGGCTTATCACGACATGTCGACACACAATGTAGACGACGGTACTGGAGGGTTGGACGCATCAATTATGTACGAACTCGATAGACCTCAGGTATTTATAATCCACAATTTTCCTCAGTGGGCTGCGTAAACCTAATACTACAACAGAATATCGGAGAAGGAATGATTGCCTCGTTGAATGACTTTAATTCCTTTCATCTTTTGTTGAGCCCATTGTCACTCCATTTATGGAAGTATGTATTAATTTTTGAACACAAACGATATCTAATCAAATTAC